GCATGTACCACTGTACCGGGCCCACATATAACTTCTAAAAAAGCAAGTTATTTTTTTAAAAAATTAAACTGAGAAATAATCATTATTATCACTTAAGAAAATGAATTTCACCCTGCTTTCTTTCAGAGAACCGATGGCCACAGAAGTGGGTCACATAATGACAAAGTGTCAGCTCCTTACATGTCGCATGTCTGCGCAGAGACCTGGATTCCCTGAGAAACCAATGTATGAGCAGAACACACAAAACATTTTGATGCCAAAGATGTGGCATAAAGATTTCATATCAGAAAAGTTTCATATCTGTTATTTGTGATTTACAACTAGAAGAAAGAAGACATCAACTCTTTTTAAAAATTCAGTTTTACCAATTTTTATCTTATAAAAACATTTGGGGGGGTGTTAAGATAAGAGTGTTGTGCTTTGTGGCCAGACCCTTGCTGGCCTCTGGCTTCCAGCGCTCAGAGTGGTCAAGAGGAAACTTCTCGGCACACGGGGGCAGTGGGGAAAGCATGACTGAACCCACCGAGAAGCGTGGGGACATTTTTCAAAGAAAATTGGACAAATGACCATGTAGACATCTGAACTTTTAAATATAGGTTAAAGTAGAAACAAGGTTTTACCACTCATCTTTATCTCCAGTGGGGGTGATTAAAGTTCGTCCCGCCTGTGAAATCGGCTGAAAACATTTTCATGCCCGTTAAATTTTCCTGCCAGCAGTTCCTCCTCGTCTTCCTCCCGGGCTTTTTTCACCTCTTCCTTGGCCTGTATGGCATCCATCTCCCTTTCTGGACCCTGGAGAAAGAAACAAAAAAACAAAGGCCTGGGAATACATTTCCGTTGTTTTAAGCCGCCCGGTTTGTGGTGATTTATTACTGCAGCCGCAGCAAACACATACACTCTCCTTCTTTCTATTTCCAGAGCACCTAGACCACTGGCTGTCAACCAGCGATCAGTGAATGGGGCCATGAACAGAGGCCTCAGAGTCTAAATAAGAAAGTCCAGGCAGGACAGTCAAGGCCAGGGGCACAGACACATTAAGAGGACTCCCACAGTTATCTTGGACAAAGCATTTTAGTAAGGCTTTAGGGCAGAAGTCAGATTCTAGAAAAACTGGCTTTTTTTTTTTTTTTGAGATGGAGTCTCACTCTTTTGTCCAGGCTAGAGTGTCGTGGCGTCAGCCTAGCTCACAGCAACCTCGGACTCCTGGGCTCAAGTGATCCTCTTGCCTCAGCCTCCCAAGTAGCTGGGACTACAGGAATGCACCACCATGCCCAGCTAATTTTTATTTTCTATATATTTTTAGCTGTCCGATTAATTTCTTTCTAATTTTAGTAGAGA